GAGACCCTTCATCTCTCCTTCTGCCCTTATGAGTCCCTCCATCTCTCCACCTGCCCTTACGAGAACCTCTATCGCTCCATCTGCCCTTATTGCCTCAGATTGTGAAGCGCTTGCAGTAGGATGTGGTGTTCAGCGCCTGTAAATACATGCTTGTAGTTTGAATAAAGCTTTGTTTCATGTTGTTGATATGCATTTGTTTGTGATGGTTACTTTTATTTGTTTTTTTTTTTTGACATTTTAATTAAAGTTTCCTTCATGAAAAAACTATTTTACTGCACTCAGCTGGGGCCCCTGAGTCCGTAGCACCAAGCGACATCCCATAATTCCACGAACCCACTATTTTTATAATGGCATAAATGCTACGTGGGATCTCAACATCTCAGCTCTGGAAGGGTCTACTCTAGAGCCTCCATTTTTGCACTCAGGTCTTAGTCCCATGGCCCATTTTGAGTTTCTCTGATCTTGAAACTCTGGATTCTGATAGAGGGCCATGGGATTTAGACCTGAGTGCAAAAATGGAGGCTCTAGACCTTTCCAGAGCTGAGATATTGAGATATTTATAAATTCATAAATGCTACGTGGGATCTCAATATCTCAGCTCTGGAAGGGTCCAGAGCCTCCATTTTTGCACTCAGGTCTAAATCCCATGGCCCTCTATCAGAATCCAGAGTTTCAAGAAGATCAGAGAAAGTCAAAATTTCGATCCCGGAAAAAAAAACGACAGTGGTACCCCTTTAGTTTTTTTTTAGTTTTTTGGTGCGAAAAAATAAGTCTCTCCAATCTTTTGAAAGTCCCATGGCCCTCTATCAGAAAACAGAGTTTCAAGAACATTAGAGAAACTTATTTTTTCGCACCAAAAAAAACCGAAAGGGCCACTGTCGTTTTTTTTTTTTTTTTTGGGTCAAAATTTTGAGTTTCTCTGATCTTCTTGAAACTCTGGATTCTGATAGAGGGCCATGAGACTTAGACCTGGGTGCAAAAATGGAGGCTCTAGACCCTTCCAGAGCTGAGATATTGAGATCCCACATAGCATTTATCACATTACAAACATCTCAATATCTCAGCTCTGGAAGGGTCTAGAGCCTCCATTTTTGAACTCAGGTCTAAGTCTAGTGGCCCTCTGTCAGAATCCTGAGTTTCAAGAAACTCAAAATTTAGAAAGGAAAATAAATTTTTTCAAAATTAAAGAATTGATTATCAATTAAAACAATATTTCCCTCCAAAACTTGAAACATTTAGAGAAAGTATAAAATGAGGAAACACATGGAATGAATACGTGCCATTTCATTTATTCATTCATTCCATTTCTTTCATTTATACTGTGAACTGTAATGAAAGAAAACTCCAATATGCTTTCCATCTTTAAAGACTGTATAAAGAGTCATAATATTCTAAATAGTCCTGCAGTGTGATGGAATGTTAAACCCTGCTTATAGGATGCCGCAGTCTGGAACATTACAACAATTTACACTGAGCTGAACAGTTACAAATCCCTGACATTTTTTGCTGGTAAATAGTACAAATTCTGGAAAGACAGATTTAAATTCGATACTGTCAGAACGTGTGCAGGAATTAACCTGTTTGAGCTGTCAGCTCATCCTTACATCCTCACAACAAGCCTGGTCCTTGTGAGAACCCCAAAAAGAAAATAAGATGAATTCTGATGAAATGATTCCTCATTGAATTTCTCATTTTCTGTTTTGAGATAAGACTACAGTTCATCAAATGACATTGACTGTTTAAGCTAGCTGTCTCCATGCAGGAGGAAGTATTCTGTCTAGTTGATCTAGTGCACTGTTGTTTTATCTCAGAGCTTGTGCACTCTCGTTCATTGCACACCCTAAAAGTTCAGGTTTTTTATCAATATTTTGAGATCTGGATACATTTATTCCATTGTTTCTATTCTCACTTGAATCAATAAAAAATTTATTTCCTAAAATGTATTATTTCCCGTCATACCGTACTGTCACATTATCAATGGAGCAGTTTGCTCAAATGCACAATGACGGTTAAAAAGAGACTGTTTGGGCTTTTCAAGGAATCATATTCCTCACACCACATTTTTTTTCTAGCCCATTTTATAATGTTACATTTTTTGAAACCAGTACCCACTTTATCAATAGCTTAAAAACAAAACCAAATCTTTAAACTCTTTATCCATTTTTAATGAGAATGAGTCCTCTATGTGCCTACCTGGTAAAATAAAGGTTAAAAAAAAAAGAAAAGAAAAAGAAAAAACACTAATCAGAGAACACCTGACTCTCCTGGCAAAATCAAACAATTGCCTCATAACAAAGACATGTCTGTCTTGGTTAATGTCAAGTTGTCATAATCAAGACATTTTTGTCTTGGTTAATGTCAAGTTGTCATATCAAAAACATTTTAAACAATGTCAACTTTGCATGAAAAGTGTCATAATTTACCGAATGACACTTAATGACATAAGTCATGAACATTCAGAAAGACTCCTTCATGTTCATGACAAGTGCTATGTCATGTTTATAATAACAGTGTCATGTCAGTCTTATGCACACCCCTTCAAATAAAGTGTTACCTTTCCACTGCACAAAAGATTAGTGAATAAAGGCACTTTAGATAAAAAGGTTATTACACTAAGAAAAACAATATTTCTATTAAGAACGGTTCACTGAATGTTCTAAATATGGATCTTCTGTGGCATCACTGCAAACCCCCCCTTTTGGAATCTTTATTTGTAATTAATGTCCAAAAGTTATGGTTGAATAATGATTTCTTAAAACTCCATTTTTTGTGTTTTTATCTGTCTAGGTAAAGAACTTTTTGCACTGTGATATATTCCCCATTTAATACTTTTTTTTAAAATGGGACATTATTCACTTAAATGATAAGTGAAATGGTTCATATGATAGGGTTGACATACACTGGAACACTCATGAATGGTGGCAGCAGTGCCTATAAAGCTGAGCCATTTAAACAGTAAATATATGCACAGCAATATAACTAGACATTCAGACACAGATCCCCCCCCCCCCCCCCAATAGTAAAAATCCAGACATGATAAAAATCCCTGAACATTGCAGTTGACAGAGCACCTCTCAAAGCCTTTTCCATGTGTTAGCTCCAACTCACCAGATGCCAGACATCAGACACGCTTCTTCACTGTCACAGCAACGGCCCTCATATGCGGTGTATAAGACAGGGGCTTCGTCGTTTTGTCTGCATCTCTGCTGCTGGGGACAGATTTGTGCAGGAAAGAACCCCTGTGACATCTGGCCCTTATGTCGACGGTGGGTCTGGCTGCCTAATGAAGGGACATGCTTGTGCTTGGCACTGCACTGCACATCATTTATTACCGTCAGAGAAAGTCACACAAGGGTCTGCTGCACACTTTAATGATGGCACACTCAAGCTCACAGTGTTCGCAAGCATTTGTGTGAGAAAGCTAGTCCTGTCAGACCAGCTTACACTTCATACATGCTCCCCTGTCCTTGAGTGCTTGTATAAATTTGTTCCTAGAAGATGTAGATCCTCAAAATATAGATCCAACGTAATATTTATCATTTTAATTGCAAAATTATTCATTATTTTCAATGAATAAACTATTCCAGAAGTGTTTAATTTTTTTTAAATGCTTTATAAGTCCAGCAGTTCTTTGCCTTGTTCTCAGTTAACAGTTATTGTGTACTATAGTATTCTTCCATGTTTTTGCATGTTAACCATTTCACTATTCAGAATTTCACTCCACTTTTAATAATTTTTGAAAGTAGAGGGCTGTGTGAATGCAAGTTTCACACAAATTGGCACACAAAACCCAGGCATACATTTTCTAAATATAAAATTTTGGATGAGGGGCATATTTTAAACATCTGTTAAATTTGTCTACACCCTTGGAAACAATTTTGATCCAAAATTGAAAGTACTGAAAACAGGCATTTGCTAATATTAAATAAGGCCTTGGGATCTGCTTTCATGCAGTTTACATCCAGTGATTTCCATGTGAACCTGTAAAGCCTGATGGGGTTCAGGTGTGTTTTATTAGTGTTGAAGCAGAACAATGCATGATGGGAACAGTTGTGTAAAGATCCCAGCCCAAAGCCCACGTCTAGGGGGCCATTAATTAAAAACGGAAATTGTATGGTTGTTAATTTGCACAACAAATTGGGGTTCAAAGTGGATGTTTTTTAAAACTATACTGTTATCGTGTAAACTACAAAACTGCACATTTGTGAAAACTGTGACATGCTTATTACATGTTTAGTCTATAGGCGCTTGGTGTTTCTTTACAAAAGGACATCGCCAACAACTGGCATGGCATGCATTACATACACAACGCTTTTAGATGTTTTCAAGGATCCGTCTGAACGGGTGATGATTTTGACAAAGTTGTTGTCTGTATGTGAAAAAAAAGCAAAAATTTTTGCACATTGTTGTCATGTAAACATACCATTGAACTGAAATAAAGACGTCATAAGACATCATACATTGGTGTGTTGTAACGTTTTATTAAATACTTTGACATATAAAAACTGTTTCTGGTGGTCAGGATCTTATCAACTTTACTTCTATGCATTACATTACATGAGAGAATTCACTTTTTAAAGGGGTGGTTGATTGCGATTTCACTTTTTTCATTTTTGCTGTTGGTGCATGAACAGTATCTGCAAAGTTGCAGCGCTGAAAGTTGTAAATGTAAGCAGAGATATCGTCTTTTAAAAATCAGGACGTTTAATGCCTACAAAATGACTCGATTGGGACTACAACTGGGTTTTACACGTCACTAACCCACACATTTACATCAACCCTCCCTCCGGAATATGCAAAAAAGGGCATGCGCATATTTCTTCGGTTCGTCGAAAGTGTGTTATTTTCATCCTTCTGTCAGGTCTTCTGTGTTCGGGCTTCCCACGGACGTTATAGTTCGTCAACAATGGATACAACTTGTGTTTGATTATGTTCCTGAAAATTATAATCGTAATTTAGCTCTCTGTGCTCCGCATTTAAGGAAGACAGCTTCCAGAATCTCCACGAATTCAACACTGGATTCAACAAGAAACTGTTACTAAAACATGAAGCAGTTCCAACTTTAAAACCAGAGGCAGCTGTTGTTGGGCCACAACCTGTAAGTAAGCTAAGACTTAATCATTTTAAATGTATTTCAGACGTAATGTTTTAGCGCTGGCTTTATAGCCACTTAGTTATGCTATATTGTGTCTACGAAAAACACGTACAAACATTTTGGACCAGAATTTGTAAATATAGTAATTTTGTAAATGTATTTTTCATGTATAACTTTATGACATTATTTTTCGATTTGATCAAGAACGTAAACCATTGCCAACGTTGTTTATGTATATAGTTGCCAGTCAGTTTGATGCTATTGTGTAAAACAAATGTGTATAAAGTTTGAAAAAATATAGGCAAATTACCATTCAGAAACGTTTTGTATGAGCCGTGTTTAGGGAGGTTCCGCTTGACTCTCTTCATCGTCGCTTTCTCGGTCTTATGCTGGCTCATACTGATACTGCAGTATCAACACCACTATTTACATTTGACATGAACAACACATGTGAACAACACATGCAAATTCGCCCAAACTAACCAATCTGAGCCCACTGCCTGTTTCTGAGGGAGTGGTTTCATAGACTCAGGAAGTCAATTGGTCGTTCAAATGACAGAGGAGAAAGCAGCTTACAATAAAGGTGAAATTTATGAAAAATAAGACTTTAAAAAAGAAAAACCACGAATACATGTTATATTACACCCCATAAACACAATCATGCAAAGAAAAAAAGCAGTAAACCACCCCTTTAACAGGACATGTTCACTTACTGTAGCATTAAGGAGTTTTAATTTGAATGTGGTTCATAGGAGTTCATATTATTGGTGGCAGAGTGACAGAATCTGATTACCCGGTCTGCTAAGTGATCGAAAAATAAATGAAATAAAATCATTTTATCACTTTATTCTCTCCATCAGCACATAACAGAGAGATGATGACAGAGAGAACTGCTAGATTGGCTGACAACAGCTGAGTGAAATTGGCAGTAAAAAGACGAAAGAGATGTGTTTATGGACGACAATAAAAACAATTATAGTTTTATTGCATCAGTGGAAATGCATGTAAAATCTTAAGCCTATAGACGATTCTGCTTTCCCCGTTCTTCAAAATGATATTGTTTCATTCGTAGTCAATAAGAAAATTGAATTTTAAAATTCAGTCTGAGCTGTGCTGATAACCTCAAGGGCACTTAAGACGGTGTTAAAATGCCACTCAGAAAAACATGATTGGATGTTTTGAAATTTTCATTGCAGGGAGAAACACATTCAGCGGAGGAACTTGAAGCATTAATGAGATGCGTTTGTCTTTAAAGAGTTGTTGTGTATTGTGTGAAAATAATTTACTGTACCTTTTGTTTAACTGTTAAATAATTTCTGAAGCCTCAGGCTTTGAAAGCACAGATTCTGATGAGTAGCATTTCGACATTGCTAGAAGTGACATACGCAGAGCTAACAGAGTCATCTCCTCACAGATGTCACAATGGGAGAAAGCACAGAAACAAGCTGCTTCTATAACCCTAAAACAAGCAGAACTGTTTGTGCGGCATACAGATATTTATAAGTATATCGTTGCAAGTAGTTGTATATCTATCAAGATTTAATGCACCATGGTAAACCTTCCCATTTAGCTGTCATAGGGTAGACAAAATATACTCCATCTTCAACAGCCATTTAATCCAATTATGTCCTTTTTTTGTCCTGTGGGATTAAGCAAAAAGAGGATATACGACCAAAAAATGCAATAGCTTACAGCACAACATTATGCATGAGAAACGATTTAGCTGTTATTTAAACCTGAAAACAATGTTAGGATCAACACAGCCTTATATTCCACCACAATATGTGGCATGCCTTATGTTGCTATGTTAATCTTAACACTGTATTACCATATCTCTGAAGAATTCAACCTGGATTTTTAGATGTGATGCAGCTTAAGAAATGTGTCTTCTTGGACCTTCTACGGTGGTCTGAATGAACCAATCCAGGAGTGAAGTCAGCATCATAAGATTCAGCTTTCATTTAGCTGAAAAAGACAATAAAAACATGCATCTTAACTTAGTGTCACTCAAAAGACATATTTCTAAAAGAGAAAAATACGCGAAGCACGAATAAATCAGTGCTGTATTCTATACCATTCTCTATCAATACATACCAGACATTACCTGTGCTTTTTATTTTACTATAATTTCTTAAAGCTCTCTCATGCCGTCCTTTCCCATCTGTCACAAACCAAGTGTGTCCATACAGTGACTTACACAAGATGGATACGCAGTGGTCATCTGTGCCCTGCAGTGATGTTCTGTCGAGATCAGCTCTATTGAAGGGCTCTGGGATCCATAGAAACACTGATGGGGAAGAAAAATAGAGAGAAGTAGTATATTTCAAGGATTCCAAACACCACTAATTCTGGTACACTTTTACACTCATGCTTTTTCACAGACAACTCCCGATAGAAGAACATCATCACATACAAGTAAGACAGCTCAAACATTGTGGGTGGAAACACATCTCGAGCAATGTTGGCAGTGACCTAGAGAAAGCACAGTTACATTGACAAACGTCTGTCAGTTGGAAGCTGTTGTCTACAGCCCTGCAATTATCTTTGGTTTCCAGAACAAATCCCTCAGTCGACTTGCCAAGTGTGTAGCGTTACCATAATGGCACAGAATAAGAGAGTGCAAGTGCACTCCTGCAAGCAGATGGTGTCATTGTATCACTGTCAAACCACTGAATTTTCAGTCTGACTGCATTAATTGACTCTTCAATCATAACAAAATCTTCACTGCTTTTGGTGCAAAAAAAAGGAAGAAGAAAAAAAAATACCTACATTAGACTTAATTAATTAGTTAAAGTGAATCATGAAAATATAAATAGTTTTTAGAGGACATTATTCAAAGGGGCCATGGTTTGGCTGGTTAACATGCTAGGGATGCTGTAACTACCAAACCCGTGCCGGTTTGAAGTCACCATGAAATCAAAATGGACAATTATTTTTTTTAAATGGAATATTGCAGTATTTATTATATTGGTGGTTTTTGAGGAGATTCCCCCTTCCATGTAAAGCGCCATATAAATGTAACAAATTAATATTATTATTATAAATGATTTATCCATGCACATCACTTTATTTTGATGGTCCTCTTTAGACATTCTGTTGACTATGCAAGAGTATTAGTCTGCTTAAAATCTGCTAAAACTTTACTGTGATGGTCCTCCAACGACATTCTACTGGATGGTCAACGTATTCTACTAAACCTACCAGTCTACTAATACTCAACTAATAATGTAATGAGATTTTTATATATACCTGTAGGTGCGTTACTTATAGTCATCAGAATGTCTAAAGGAAACTAATCTTTAATTAAAATGACCTGTTTGTTGGAGTGAGGGCGACCTGTCACTCACATGAGATCACATGCAATAGCAAACAACATTGATCCAACGATTTGATCAATTCCTGCTGGACATAATCGAGTCCTGTCCCGCATTGTTCTTGTTCGAGAAGCTGTAACACTTGGATATGTACGTAAAAATCTGAAAGCAACATATAGTATAGTATAACTTTATTATTGCACAGCACATGGAACTGCCTTTGAGATGCTAAATGGATCAATTTCTCTGGGTATTATAGATCTCCTTGATCATTTTCCACAAAGATTTCACTCAATTTTAAATTGATTACTTATTGTCTTGTTTTCAAATGTCCTTGAATCACTGCAGAACAATTCACTTCCCAGCTATAATTTGCAAAGAACTAAACGGATGAAGAAATGGGTAAGTGGTAAAATAATTACATGAAAACAGGTGAAAACGGCAAGGCTCGCTGCACTCTGAATTCGCAAACAGGCGCTAGTCACTCAGGGAATGTGGCCCCTGGCTCACACAGTTCTAAGCTCAGCATGAGAATGCCTCAGTGTAATGTGTCTGCCAAAACAGCACCAATAATGCTGGAATCCATTATACTCCTATAATACTAATCAGTTGAACACCAAAAATAAACAGAAGCTATGCAAACATGGCTGTATTTTCCAGGTGCTGTGTTCAAAAGGGACTTCCGGAGTGTGATTTTCACTAGAGAAGACAGGAAAAGCCACAAATTCATGTCTTCCTAAAGCGCATGGAGTGTTTTATTAAATGAAGCGCAAAGTCCTCTATAATGAGAAGAGTGGGACTGCTGCTAATTGAGATTCATTAAAAATTAAAGGATAATTACTTTGTGTCTAGCATGCTGAATAGAATATTTCATTACGATCGAGAGTGCTGTGGTTTCGAAGCACAGCTGTGATTTGGTCATGGGTCGCGCTGATATTCAGACCGACAGAATGATTGAGGGTGTGATAGTTTTACAACAATGCATATTGTCGATGATAATATTTAGAAACTCACATTTTACACACAATATTGCCAGTTACTTTGACTTCTTTGTAACTCTTTTAGTTGTCGCAGGCAGCAAGAATAGACAAAGTAGTGTTTGAACTAATCATTTGAGTGAATGATTCAATGACATACTTAAAGACAGACACTTGTTTTCATCCTGAACCAATCAATTTAATGAATGATGCATTCCTATTGGTGTATCTATGAAACCTACGGTGAATAATTCACACCATTTTTGCACAGAATGACAATCTGTCTACCTGGAACATGGAAACATGGACAAGTCCGACGGCTGCTGGGATGTTTATTAGCCTTCTTGGATGACTATTCAAATCTAATTCGAAGACCGTAACTGAAGGCGCATTTATGCCAAGGACAAGAACTATAATGTTAATAATCATTCTAATTCTTTGAGACTCAATAATGAAAACGACACAGATGAACAATATTCATTGGAATCTCTTTCAGAAAGATTTTTCCAGTTGATGAAAGATGAGAACTTTGACAATACCCCTGACTGAGTTTGAGCATTTAGCAGAACGTTATTGGGCATTGGTGTGGATGAGCACCATAAAAAAATATATACAGTAAACTGTTGTATAATATGAAATACACTACTAGACTATTACTACTGCTATTATCTATAAGTAAAGGCAGTCTACTTATTTTTCACTAAGCTTTCTGTACACTCATAAGAGGCAAGTATAAACAATACTAAACTTACCGGGCATACAGCATCTGCACACAGACTGTTTATAAGCACTTCCTCAGCCAAATGAGACGAAGCCCTCTCACTTCTCACTGATTGGTTTTATCAACATGCTCCATATACTGACTACAAAGTGCCTGCAATGACAAGGAAGAAAATAGATGTTACTCAGGTTAAAAAACATAATGTTTAAGGGAGGTTGAGAAGGGCTATCATACACTTGGCAGCATTAAAGGCAGAGAGCCAGATATGTGGGAGGACTCGGGTTGGGAAAGCAGCTCATGATAGTGATAACCTCAGCGATAATATTTCTGTCTAAAATCTTGCCTGAAGACAACAGGAATATGACCAGTGTATTCGGCCTGACATTCTGGTAGTTAGTAGCCTAAAACGCCTCAGAGGTCTCTTAGTCACCAACTACATCATGAGGTTGTTTCAGATGTATTGTTTGTAAAAGTTTTTGATACCCTGCTTATGATCTACTGAAGAAAAAGTATCTTCTTTCACTCTCCTCCCTGTTCGAAGGTTTAAAGTAGGTAATGATTACATCTCATAAAACGTTCCCAGGCTTAAAATAAAAGCTACAAGCTTCATTTAAAAGAATTTAGTGGATTTATTTTCAAATCTCTACATCGTCTGCACTGATCATTGATTATGGAAAAGTAATGGACGTTGGATTAACTGATCTTTTCCCATTATGCACGTTCATTCCAAAGGGATACTCTGAAGAGGCTTAGGCCGTGAGGCTCGCACACCCTTTTTCATTCTCGTACAATGGCTTTCATTGATGTTGTGGGATATCACCATCACAAGGGGATACAATAAAATAAGACCACATTTGAAAAGATGAAAGGCCCAACAGACTGCTCATCTAACATTTTTAAAGGTCTGAACACTGCTTAAAAATCAGAGCTTGTTGATTTCTCTTTTTGTACAGTTAAAAACTCTGTGTCCTTAACATTTGTTTGAGTTAAAAACCCATAGGAATTGAATTGCAGGACCAGCACATCTTCAACATCTTCAAGCACCATACTGCCTGACAAAGTCATTTTAACTTATCCTTGTGTTTAAGATGGTTAAATCTGCATATTTATGTGTTAATGTTCTTGATATTTTTATCCTTATGCTATACTGATGGTTTATGTATAACGCTAAAGGGCTACAGACAAGTTATAGAGGTTAATAAAATGTACTGTAGCTAATCTTTAAAAAAAATACATCTTAACAAAATTGCCAATAGCAAAGGAAGGTTTTATGGTAAAAAATGGTAAAATATAGCAATTACCATTTTTGTTTTTGGATTGTTGTGCAAATACCCTTAGTTTTTAATATCACCATGGCTGTTTGGGCCACAAATTTACCCTAACAACTATGCGAAAAGAAATGTGATGACAATTCTAAAGCCTTTTTGTTCAGATGACTCTCCATCTCAGTCTCTCTACATGATGACTAACTGTCACAGAAAACAACAGTGATTTTCAACAGTGATGGAAACTCCACTAGTATTTGACAGCAAATTGAATGTCTTGTGTGTGAATTACAGTCTCCCAGAAGAAAACATACATTAATCTGTTATTGTCATCATAAATGCATTCTTCCTCATCACAGAAGAAAAAAATGTATTGTGCACATAAGACCAGATTAACCGAGAGCTTAAAAAGTCCTGATGCTTGTTATATACACATGTCATTAATTCAATGGACTGCAGTCAAATTATCAGACCTCCGGAACTCTCTTTCAGGACATGTACATCCAAGCTTCAAAATCCACTGCTGACATGTTCAAGCCGCAGGTACTACTGCACAATCGCCACCCGTGTGCCACTGATTAGAAGACACTTCCCATTTTAATCAGCAAGCCTAAAGCCATTCAGTCAAACCTGTCCACAAATCACAAAAATAATGCATAATCCATTTTTCATTATATTTAATGACATGCTATTTTACACAAATTAAATGTACCAGCTGAATACTTTATTTCAAGCAGACCATTAACAATCAAAAACCACAGCAGTGTTAATGCAGCTAAAACATCTTCGTCATTGTTTCCGCTCCTATCACCTTTCCATTCTAAAGTAAGCCATCTGATAGGCGTCAGTGATTTAATCATCCTTTGCTGCTTTACAAATGGTTCTCGGAGTAAAAAACGCATCTGTTTGAGCATGTCTCTGTCTTGTCCTTAATTAGACTATAAAACATGGCTGACCTCTACAAACGACTTCCATCCATCAAGACAACCAAAATAGTGTGACGATGGTCAAAATTAATAGAATAACTAGTTATAAGCTTTGAATCTTCGAAAAAGCTAAAATGATCTTTCGATGCACATAATTGCTCTTCTCTAGCAGAAAAAAAAACCCCAAAACAAAATGAATCCTAAAGAACACTGTTTCAGTCTTTTGTTGCTGTTATGCTCCACATGTTGGGATCGCCTGCATCGTAATTAATACAAAAAGTTGTTAATTACCCAAATGTTCAAAGCATTGTTCCTGAAGGCCACATTTCACTCGAGGTCAAACTATCACCCTTAATATTTTAATGGTGTGTGCAATTAATCTGTGCATAATTTCACAAGTCTATTTCATACTGAGAGGGATTCGGTCTTCGAGCTAACCTAAAGGGATGTTTACGTTACTTGCTAAATGGCTTATTAATTGTTTAATCACAACAAAACATTAATTCATGCTCCTAACTATGAAATAAAATTGTTTGCATTATTGTTTTCTTTTGCTCTAAGACAGCTCTGCACTACATATACTGTAGGTACTGTCTTGGTGCTTCCGATGAAGCAAGCACGATGGAAAGCGGAACCTTGTGGACAGAACCTTGGGTACATAACTTGGTCTCTGCCTTAAAGTAACCTTGACCAGACCAGGAGTGAAGTCCAAGCATGACTCGCTAATAGAGAGAGCCTGTAAGCCCCCTATTCGCTTCGGAAGTTAAAGCTCACAAAAGAGCAATCTTAAGAGTCAGAATCCACCGGGTCTGACTCAGAATTCACCAGGGATGAGCCGGGTCACTCCTCCTAGTAGGGAACTCCACTCTATGAGAGGGGCGTTCTCAGGACTGAGAAGGGGAGGGGTTAGAAGATTCCCTAACCCTTCTACTGTAGGTTTAAAGTGTTTAAACACAGCCAACTGAGACTTAGCTGCTTTCTTAGCAAAACTTTCTCCTTGTCGCGGATCTCCGTGAGCTTGAGCCATAAATGGTGCTTCAGGAGTCCCTCCATTTCCCTCGTCCATGTCCTTCAGGATGTCCGCCTGGTAGGCCTGAAGAATGGCCATAGTGTGTAGGGGCATGTCTGCCTGACCAGGATGTAGGATTTCCCAATAAGGGAGGAAGGAAGGAGGGGACACGACTTCCAAGACGGCGCAGATGACGGAGCGAGGAAAAGGGCAGCTTTCTTTGCTCTGGCCTAGAATTAGAGCCACTAAGAAATCTCTCGTTGAGTTTAGACAACTGTGACTTGCGGGGCTCGTCAGGCCAGTCGATATAGCAAGCTTTTCCATAGCACCACGAAAACATGTCTATAAGTCTCCATCAACAGCAAGATGCTATCCTATCAATATGGGCCAACATTTCTAAAAAATGCTTTCAGCACCTTGTTGAATCAATGCCACATAGAATTAAGGCAGTTCTGGAGGCGAAAGGGGGTCAAACACAGTAGAAATGGTTGTGCATGAAAATCCCAGTAACTAAAGGGTTAGTTCACCCCAAAATGAAAATTCTGTCAGTATTTACTCACCCTCATGTTGTTCCAACCCCGTAAGACCTTCGTTCATCTTCGGAACACAAATTAAGATATTTAAGATATTAAGATCGCTACAGTCCGTCGGCTTCTTGAGGGACTGGCTCTTGCTGTCCCCGAAAAGTCATTAAAGACATCGTTAAAATAGTCCAAGTGACTACAGGGGCTCAATCTTAAGTTTATCAAACGACGAGAACACTTTTGTGCGCAAAAAAACAACAAAAATAACGACTTTATTTCAACTATTCACTTCCTTCTCCATGGGCCTGTAGTCAGTTAACGTAGTGTGATTGCGTAGAGCTACGTCACATGTAGGCTCACTATTGGCCGACGCTGGTCATGTGTGTGTGATGCGTGTGACGTACAATAACAGAAGCTTACGCTATTAAACTAGTAACCTGACTCGCGCAGAGGGAGAAATAAACGAATAGTTGAAATAAAGTCGTTATTTTTGTTGTTGTTTTTTGCGCACAAAAGTGTTCTCGTCGTTTGATAAACTTAAGATTGAGCCCCTGTAGTCACTTGGACTATTTTAACGATGTCTTTAATGACTTTTCGGGGACAGCAAGAGCCAGTCCCTCAAGAAGTCTACGGACTGTATGCAGGAGCGATCTTAATATCTTAAATATCTTAATTTGTGTTCCGAAGATGAACGAAGGTTTTACGGGGTTGGAACAACATGAGGGTGAGTAAATACTGACAGAATTTTCATTTTTGGGTGAACTAACCCTTAAGCAGATTGTGAAATACTCAGACCGGCCCATCTGGCACCAACAATGCCATGCTCAAAATTGTTTAAATCACCTTTCTTTCCCATTCTGACATCCAGTTTGAAATTCAGGAGATTGTCTTGACCAGGACAACACCTTATTGATTGATAATCTTACAACTTATAGGTTGATTAGATAATAGCAATAATGAGAATTTGAATCGGTGTTCCTGATAATCCTTTAGGAGAGTGTATATTTGAATGCACTTGTCCAGTAGAGAGACTTTTGCAGCTTACCTAGTCTGATTCAATCCAGTGCTTCTCAGCTCACAGAGAGACTGGTACCTATTGGAAGGATAAATCATATTTAAGATACAGATTTTAAGGTGCTATTAGTATAATAGACAAAATGAAGAAGAAACAATGAGTGAGACTACAAGTCAAAACAAACGTACACTCGCATGCACGATTAACAGATGGACTGAAAACAGTTTGACAAAGCATATGTTACTATCAAAAAAGTAAACCAATTTGTGGGGCTGGACAAAAGCTGTCAGAGCAGAATCTGATTTGAGAGCAACCATCTTTTTCAGCGTTTCTGGTTAAAAAGCTTAGTTTAGCTGGTCAGGTTTTATAGATCAGTTTTAGCTTGTTTTAAAAGATGGATTGTTAATTGCTTTTTCATTCTTTCTTTCTTTCTTTCTTATGTGTTAGTAAGTCATTTTTGGTGTCACTAGTTAACTTTATTAGCGGATTTAGAGGGCCGAGGCATTTATTTGGGGTTAGTGAGGGCAGGTTTACTTTTTGAAGTATAAATAACTTAATTTATGACTGGCATTCGCAACATTAGAGTTATTATTAGGGTTACCTGCTTAACGTTTAGTCATCCTTTCGAAGTCTTAATATGAGTCAGCATTCAGTTCTAATAGTCACAAAAAAGAGTTTAGGTCTCTATGGGGCCTTCAATGGTGCTGATATTTAAATGCATTGGTATTACAACAAAAATGATGTTCCTTAACATAAATAGCAGAAGAAAATATACTGTAGGTAGCAGAGATAAAGCAATTTAACTGGATCCCATTCACTCCAGTGAGTGATTAAATATGAGTGTTGCTACAGTGGTTAACACCAAAGGCTGAAGGCACTTAGAACATCTTATTGGAATATGGGGACGTTCTTACCTCCTGAATCTCCAAATCATTCTCAGAGTGACGTTAGTGCAGACAAGTCAGTCCGACTTATTGTTTAATAAGCTGAAGCTTAAAGAGTGTGTTAAAAAAGATTCAATTTATTGATCTAAACAGTTGATTTCCATTAACATGTTAAACATTTAAATGACTAATCAAGAGTCAATAAACAGTTTAGAGCTAATGTTAAAAATTATTTAACAAAGTTTAATTCTATTAATGTAGCTTATCTATTATTACACAAAATGACTTGACAACGTCTCTACGGTTCCTTTTTGTGGCTTTCTTGGTTAAATATAAAAACAACATATTAGCCATTTCAGGTCAAACAGGCATTTAGTACTAGAAACAAGTACGTACCTAATCTAATTTTACAAAAAATGATCTCATCCTTATTAACAAATTATAGCAACACAAGTTTAACAATTATAATCACCTATTTAGAGAAGCTTGCACAATGCGCTTTACATCCTTTTTATTACATGTTTATGTACAAATACAAGCTACACACAAAGCAAAGCACTTGGATGTGGCTACATACATAGCCAATTGCTTTCAAACCCAATACTGATATCAAAATTAAATATACAAACTCAGTATTTACCATCATCAAATCAAGTATTAAGAAAGATGTTATGTACAAAATGAGTCTTTTCACTGTGCCGATACACTTTCTCCTTAAGATTCCCAAAATCCGGGAAGCACAATGTGTAGCTAATTCCATGCTTTACATTTTGGGGACAAACAATGGAAAACTAAAGGAAGGAGCATTCAATGACAAAAGTACACTGCCAAATTCTGGTATTTTACATATGTATTTTACAAACAAGTCAACAGTTTCAGATAAGAAAAGAAGGGACCATGTATCTCCCATCCCTCCACCCAAGGTAAGAATGAGTTTAAAAACATGGTTGACCTGTCACTTAAAAATCCCTTTTTATATTATTTAAGCCTATAGTAAATGCGGTTTGCATTGTATGGAGGTCACATGATCTGGAGCACCTTTAATATCTACCATAGGGGTGATCTCTGTAGCCCCCTCGATTAAGTCTTGATGCTGGAGCTTTGAGGTTGGGCCGGGATGATGTCCAGTCCTCTTCAGCTACAAGTAAGATGATTAAAAAAAATGCAAAACCAATAATCAGGTAAAACAATCTTCATTTGAAAATGTAATTTAACACAAGTGATAAGTAGAGAAATAGAGAAACCTCCTTAAATGGCTGAAATGCAATGCTATGAAGATTCATCAAGGGATGGATATCCTAAGGCCATGTGATTCCATGTAACATTAGTCATTTTTAATGCTTTTTTGATCTAAGCAATACAAAATGATAAACTGAGCACCAGCTGATCATCTTACACATACATTTCAATAATTAGAGCTCCGTTCCCCACATCTCATCTTGGGCATGTTCGCCTCGGTCCATTATCATAGATTTCAGAAATATACAATGTCACTTTGCCCTAATTATCAGTTACCAAAGGCTGAGCGGATGAGGCATGAAATCCTGGCTGAGCTCACAGCATGACCCTGCTGTCATTTAAATACAGTATGTGTTGGGACCCGATGCTCCATTAGGTTCTCGGAGTGTGATCGCTGGGCCATTGAAGAAACAATCAGCCTGCCTTCAGGGCAAAGAACCTTAACCTTCATTGTTGCTAACTACAGTTTCACCGAGACAGAAGGAAAAACCATTATAGATCATTACAAAATCCCTTGCATTCCAGTATTCTGTGTAATGATCACTACCACACAAACAGCCCTCCATTAACCACATTATACTTAATATGTTTTCCCCTTACATGCTCCTCACTGTGAAAAACTGATCTTGCCAACTTATGATGATACTATAGAAGCCTGCTTCTGCCTTTGAGTAATATATATATATATATATATATATATATATATATACACAGTATATATCTTATATAAAGACATCAAGAGACATCATATTGCAAATTAAGTTATATTATGAGATATAATAACACTGTAATATATAAGGTTGCAAACAATGTCACAATTGGGTGAAACTAAGGTGCAACTGTGAGACTTTGACACATTGTGCAACATGAAGTTACAAATGCAAGATGAATTCGCTATTATGAGATATAAAGTCACAAGTTGCCTTCTTTCCTTATTTTTTTTTTACTCTGGAAGCGGAAATCATCCCAGATAGCACAAGGCTATTTGATGTGCTATTTACATCTAGAAGACGTATTTTTAAGAGTGTTTGCTCATCTGCAAGACGTCTATAGGATGTTTCCTGTCAGATGTCAAATAGACGTTTAGATGATGTCTCTAAGATGTAATGATTTAGAATGCATGTTAAACTGACATCTTATAAACGTCTATTTGACATCGGACAGGAAACGTCCTATAGAAGTCTTGCAGATGAGCAAACACTCTAAAAAATACGTCTTCCAGATGTAAATAGCACATCAAATAGCCTTGTGCTATCTGGGATATGATCTTAAATGCCTAACAAACAAAACCTTTTGTAACACAATAAAATTGTGGTTTCAAGTCAAAAGGTGGTCAAATCATTATTTTCACAGAGACACTCCATTGCACAATTTGACCCAATGCAAAATGAATGAGCAGGTATGTATACAACGGGAAACTGGCATCAGAGGAACACAACAGTCTATGCCAAGAACAGAGGAAATCCTGCATCAAATATAATCCAGAGAGGGCACATATTCAAAGGCAAATGTATGGGCTGAAAGGCCATTCAGACTCTCTTGGTGGGCCTCAGCAATGCCTCCAGCTCTCTATTGGCTCTGGTCCATGATTTCAAGTGCATCTTAAAACCCAGCCCTGAAGCAGACTAGTAAGGTAAGATGGCAGCTGCTGTGCTCTGGGCCTCTGTGATTTAACAACTGGCGAATGCCGCTAGGTGTTTTTCCTTACCTTTAGCTCTAAAACATTTAACAGCAATATGGAAAATGAATGAGGCAAAGAGATTTCTCACTGGTGTGGGCAATGTGCCATGACTGAGTTTCAGCCCGCCTGCTAAGCGAACTACTGCTATGCAAAGAGGATGTTTCTCTTTGTGGTGCACCATTCAAAATGGTTGACCTAAAATGCTAATAGTTTCCCTAGTGAGCAAAAAAAATAAATAAATAAAAAGTCATGATGCTTTAGATCAGATAAATTCCTTACCATAATTATTATAGGTTTCACCATTATTGCCGTGTCCATATTCATAGTATTCTGAGACACTGTAGGAGAAAAAAAATATTTCTTATGAGACATTTTGACAGATTCTTAGAGTGAAAATACACATTAATTAGCTCATTTTGCGACAAAATGTCTTTGAAGAAATGAAGTGTGCACCTTTTCGACTGGTTGCTGTAGTTGTCATCATAGCCCTCATAGCTCTCGTCATCATATTCCCCGTCATAACCATCATCATATCCCTGAACAGAAACACAAAAGAGTAATCACAGAGGGAGACGTAAACGGTCTGAATCCATCTCAAAGCAGTACTCTAATTGTTTAGGGTTGGAAAATCAATGTTTAATTACACTGGAATAGGATTTCTCTAATAAATATACTCCGAGAGTGGTGGACTGGCACAGCTGAATCTTGTCCAACAGAAAATATTGATCAGTAAGCGACAAATGTCTCATTTGCCATGTCTGAAGACAAGTGGATAATACCTAGGTCGATTCAATATTACAGACAAAAGAAACAAAAAACAGATTCAAACTTCATAATAACATGTCCAAGGGATCCTACACGAGTCATGACTGGTGTCATCCCATATATTCTTACTAATTTTTTTTTTATAACCACCTCTGATATTGAGAGGAATTATTATCATTCGCTTTCATATACTAAATGTGCAGATATTTTATGGTCTGACTGTGCTTTAATTCTGGCTTTATATTTTGGTATAATGGAAATCCAGAAACCCAGAATGAAGAGTTGTGTAGTAAAATAAATGATAAAACGATAATTCTGTTCCTTGTTTCTGATTCGTTAACACAGCATTTCATTCATGCTAAAAAATACACAATATTACAGCAATGACGCTATGACTGTTGGATTGATTACAGTAACTATCTTTTATATAAACTGCAAATTATTCATAAATGCAAACTCATACAGTTTTGTGTTTTTATTTTGTTGTTCGACAGACTAACTGAAAATGCTTCCTTTTTTATTAGGCCTAATCTATCAGAAAATAACCTGGGCAAGCTATTTTGACCCTGCCTATTCCCTTTGGATTCAAATTCTGCACAACAGTCTGCCTTTATGAGTATGAAGAAGGATTAGACTAAATGAAAGTCATGGATTATGCCAGGGATTAAGTTGTTCAGGAGATCTAGCGCACAAGTTTCTTCTCCTGCTAATAGGGTCAGGGTTCTGTCTTCTTCTACTAATTGACCGGTTTGTTAACATTGCCTCTTGATAGAGTGCTATGCATATCTTAAGCAGCAGAGTATACAGCAAGAGGCGGCATGTTTTACTATTTAATAGCATATTTCAGAACATGTCAATCACACTAATACCAACAGCTCTCTGAGGAAATACATTTTAGCAGAAGAGTGAGAGGTAGTGGCTGACCTACCCGTTTAATAGGGTCATTTCATCAAGAGCAGAAGGCGTAGTTTCCATAACATTCGTGAAAATGAAGATGTGTCTGCTATGACATGACCAAACAGAATAGTTCACCCCAAAATTTAAATTAGATCATAATTTACTCATCCTCATGTCATGTTACGATCTGTGGAATGAATTTGATCCAGAAAGAAAATCAGAAAAGTGAGTGAACTAAAAGTCCTTAAAACTATTCCTATAAAATATACACCAAAAATATTTTGACATACTACATTATGAACACATGAATACACCTACATGAAATTTCAGATATTAAAAATATTTTGGATCTTACAGTATGCAGAGGCCTTGCACATCTATGCAAACATTGTGTGACCAGGGTATAATTGCAGTATATTATTTAGTATAATAACAAAGTGCTGTTTAAAAGGTCCTTGTCTGACCTTCCCGACTTTACCATGCACTTACAAGCCACTGTGCATAATTTGAGCAAGCTCTAGTTAATGGTGCTTGATTGTTACATTTCAACAGTCATTTAAAAGAGCAATTAACTATGGACCTATTGAGCAAGCTAACAGGAAATAAATCAAGTGGTAGAGAGCACTGCAAGAGTAATTAATACAGCAGACTGCCAAAGGTCTTCAATACTCAGCTTCATTATCAATTGACAACCACCAACACCTTTTGACAGTGACTGATCTCTGTGTGGGACGGCAACTGAATATGATTCCTCACTGGAGAGCAGCAAAAGGAAATGAATGGTTGAAAACGCTTTTTGGCTGTGGCTCCGTCTGCTTATTGAATGAAGTCTCTTTGTCTACCCTTAATTTATTAACCAATTTTTCAGGCCAAATATTTTCCGTTTGAAATAGGAGTAAACATTGGCTTCAGGCCAGACTGGATGAAGCAGTCTGAAATATACTCACATTCAACAGGCAATATATATATATTTAATAGTCTGTTATGATTGTTGCAAACGTTGAAAGGACACATAATTCTTTCAAACATTATCAAAAATGGATTTCATTGCACATCAATTTTATATTAAAGGGAAACTGCATTTCAAATCATGATGTTTATGATGACTAACAGGTTTAATGATAAAATAAGCAGGGTAGGCGATTTGTTCCAGATTTTTTTTTAGCTATGCTGGTTGAAAATCTCTTCACATCCTGACAGCTAAGTGGTCTAAATGTATCTTTATTTATATCGCTTGTGGAAGTCATAGGACCGCGCACCCAGCTCGCACAGACATCACACATCATCAGTGCGTTTCATGATATGCAGATTTAGACAGATGTCAGCGCAAACACCACAACTAAAACAGCCACCTGAACCAAAACAAAGAGCTTATGCTGCTTTCAGGCCATAACTACTGTAATTTGCAAGAGATGGAAACCCATGACGTTATACTTGGAGCAGTTTGTGATTCCAATTCATACGTTTCAATGGCTATACTACCAACAGTGAAATGAATCTGCAGCAGTCAGGTGATACAGGTCAGTGCTCTTTAAGTTGCTTCATTATTACTGTAGGGCATGTGCTCTGAGATATGAGGTAGTTTAAAGCAGTCTATCGAGACACTTTTGTTTGCCCCCTGCTGTATGAGTCTTGTTTTGAATGAGGCGTTACTTTGGAAAGCGGTCTAAAGGAAGGGTGGAATCTTGTGCTTTTATAGCTAAGTTGCTATTGCTAGCCTCTCTGAAAATTAGCCAACCCTACCTTTAAGTATATTCAGTCAACCACAGTTTTTACAAATAAGGAGAATGAATAGAGAAATACAATTTTCCTTCTATTAGCTTTTCTTCATCCTAATAGATCGTGTGTCCACCAAAGCGTTTTTCCATGTGCCTGGCATATGTTTTCAATTGTTTTCAATGGGAGCGCTGCGTTTTTTAAACGCCATGAGCGTACCGAGGCGCTGAGCGTTTTTTTCACGCTGAAGCGCCGAGCGACCAGCGTTTTTTACTGGTCGCTGGGAGTTGAAAAATGTTCAACTCTGGAGTAAAACGCAGCGCTCATCACTGTCACATTTTACCCAGCCGTCCAATCACAGTGGAGGAGGGGCGAGACTAAACCACACCGACCAACTGTCACACCTTTCAAACTGCTGCATATATTCTGCATCATAGCAACGAAACGTCTCAACAGAAAAAACGTTGCGCTGCCAAAATGCTCTCAAGCGCCCAAAGCACGGCGTCTTCAGCAGAGCGTCTAGCGTTTTTAGCCAGCTGAAAACACCTCCTTTGGTGGACACACGGCCATAGGGTCAGGTGTCTGTCTTCTTCCACTAACTGACCGGTTTGTTAAAATTGACCCTTTGCATAGAGTGCTATGCAAATCCTAAGCAGCAGAGTATACAGTAGAAGAGGCAGCATGTTTTAATATACAATGACTCAACTAGAGCTTTGGTATTTGCTCTTATCATTGGTGTCAAATTGTGTTTGGATTCATGGCATTAAGGTAAGCATTCGCTAGTCAAAACAGCACGATCAACCTTAAGGAAATATTAAGTAGTGTAGGCCTAATAAATAAACTTGGATCATGAGTATCATTGGAATTTATTAATTCTAATAAAAGTCAATTCTCTGGTAATAACTATTATATGAACATGTACAATGTTAAATTTAATAGTTTTTTGTAAACAGCTGCTCTTTGAGTTCCCCCATACATTTCCATGCAAATATATCAATAACCATGTGTTGATCCATATGTGGATAAATCATTATATATTCAAGAGCATAAGAGGACCGCCCCCCCACCTCACCCCCACAAATTTCTTACTGCTTACCACCTGGAAAGTATAATTGATATGTCTATTTATATATGATAACTCAACTCACCAACTCAAGAACAACCACATGAATATTTATAGAGCTAAAATCACAATTTAGAGAAGCCTGAAAGCACAGGATTTGCCTGAAAGCACAGTCGTTTGCCAGTACTAAGAAGGTGGTAGCACAAATGTATGCAGGGAGCTCTGCAATAAACTAAGACTGTTTATTGCCAAAGATCTCACAGTAGAAATATAGGAGTACTTATTACTTGTTACATAAACTTTTACAATCACCCACATAAAATACCTAATTCAGTAAGCTGATGACAGACAAGTAGGCTATTACTTCTAACCTTCAGATGCTGCATGTGTAAAAGAGCAATCTATTTCACATTTGAATCATGTCGAAATCATTTTTAATAGGAGTTATTTATGCACGACAAGGAGCTCTAATTCAGTAATCACTGACCAGTAAATATACCATTGCTCATAGAAAGCATAAGGCCTGGTATTTGCATGCACTATACACAAAAAATTGACTGCCACTGCAAGCCACATAGCTCTTGATATTTTCAGCAAAAGCAGAAGTTCTACTTTTCTGTGCTATTTTATATGCAGCTCTTAGACCTGAAATAATATGCAGAGCCTCTAGGCATTTCACATGCTTCTCTTCAGCAGGAAATTATTAAACTTCTTCTCGAGGTGTATGTCGTACATCTGTTTTATTAAACGAGGGAGTTCTGCATGAAGAATTCCATTTCAATAATTAGTTCACCTCAAAAATGTCAAGTCAGCGGTGTAAGCGAGCCCATTGTTAAAAAACAATTACAGCCATGGTGAGAACCTTGTGAGAATTGTGAGAGCGAAGCCGTTGAATCGGCTCTTGTCATGTGAAGTGGTGTGTGATTGTGCATTTACTGTGATATCAGAGACACTCAATGTCTTCTTTTACAGTCATTGACCCTTTTCATTTATTTATCCACACTAAGCAGTCGTGCGTTTCCCATACAACGACATAGTTCGCTGCTTCACTACCATAGTACGATGTATCGTTGGAGAAATCAACTAGCTAGTCACGCCTGTTTCCCGAAACCAATTGCCGCAAAGTATCGTTCGACCATGTTGGTTTCGCACGTGGTGGAGTATAACTACTTTTAATGAAACTGATTGAGATCCAATTAACGCTAGATTTTTTTAATATACGTAAATTACAAACATGTAATCTGAGGACTATTTCTAATTGTTCTCAGTTATTTTGCTTTATTACCAGAGTCAATATTTGGCTCGTTCTTCTTACATAGAGCACGTTCGCACATGCGCGCTCTTCAAACACGTTACTTAAAATCTTTCAACAAACTAAAAGACGTAAATTCCATTTGTATGTGTTCTAAGGCCACATTTATACAAAGCCAGGTATTTATCGAAACGAATATTTTCCCCCTCTCCGTTTTCCAAAATAACATCGTTCACACACCTGCATAAATACGCCGTCGAGCGCAAACATAACTATGCCAAACCTATTAGCGGCAATGTAGGGAGAAGGATAAAGCCATGCAAGCCAATCAGAATCCTTAGAATCGACAAGAGAGAACCTAAAACGGCGTTTCTCCCAGTTCACACGACAACACATAACCGGCGTTTTTTGAAATCTCCACTTTGGCCGGAGTTTTTAGAAATAATAGTTTTCTGTGATAAAAACGGGGTTTTCGTGTAAACGAGAGGCCAAACCGCAGGGAAATATCTGTGTTTTCCCTTCGTGTAAACGGGGCCTAAATAAAAGGCACCGTTTGTACTGAATGTAAGCTTGCTTATTTTGCTCAAGATTAGGATTTATTACCTCCAAATGTCATGCAATATAGAAACGATGCCTCTAACCACAGGTCGAGAGCTGTCACACAAACCACACAACTTTGCAATGCTGTTTGCGAATGTTCGCTGGAACGATGGTTTCGGGAAACACTGACTCGTTGAACTATGCTGATAACGACGGAACATACGACCATAGTTGGCTAACGATGCTTTCAGGAAACGCACCCCTGGTTGTGACCTTAGAATACAGTGATAGTGATTTCACAGTGATAGTCCCTATTTTAAAGGGTTATTTTAAATGAAACAAAAAATAAATATATATCATCATTTATACTGGCCGTCACGTCATTCCATGTATATCCAAATAATGGTAAACGGCCGATCAAACATGCTTGCTTGACTTCAAAACACTTAGATTAAACAGCTTGATGTGGATACCTTTTAAGTTATTAAAAGTTAGCCTATTCGCATGTGTGCATGGAAAATTGGGAAGGTGCTTGGTCAGGAAAAAGTCAAAATCAAAGAAATGAAAAATTCAAATAAAGGCACCCTGCTCTATCTGCTCCCAGGAAACTATGTTAATGTTTCAATCAAACAAGGTCTTCGTCAGGCAATAAGAACAACTTATCAAGGGATTTTAAATTCACATAAACCCTAAACCCTCACACCTGATAAAAGATAAGGGCAATCAGCCAACTTACCAAACTATCCCTTTAAACACTAGTGTTATCCAACCAAATTGAAAAAGTAATTATTTTGTTATGAAACCGTTTTCCCCATCTGCCATTAATCAAGATACAGTAAGCAGATAGCTCCACCCCCAATCTAACACCATTGGTTTAGACGCTGTTGCTATGCTGGGCTGGCCAGAATAATCAAACAAACAAAACAATGTTTGATAATGCCACTGATCCTCAGTGTTAACACTTTTCAGCATACTCACCTACAAATGACTTATTGCCACTCTGCATATTAAGATGGGATAGGAAAAAGTAATTTAACATCAAATAACATGCAAACAACAGATAACAGATAAGAAACACTGGATAATTGCAAATCAACAAGCAACTTTGAACATTATTTTAAAATGTTAGAGCACAGATATCCCACTAGTTTTCTACTAAGCCACATTCAGAGGTTTGTTTATTTTGTGGTAAGAAAAGGGGCGTCAGACGAGGAGCGTCGGACTGGTTGGTGGAAGAGTGAAGAGCCCTCTGAGAAAGCACTTGTGATCTTTGAGTAAAGCTGTTGTGCTAAGAGGGAGATGATGTCTGGCACAGCTCGGGTGATGCATAAGAGCTTATTAACTGGATTCAAATGCTCACCAACAAAAAAAAAAGGGGGAGAACACTGACACACAGCAGTGGATATTCATGTGTCTTTCAATTTATACATTTTAAACCTGGATCGTAGCAAAGTGTGTATAAAAGCAGACAGCAAATCCATAAAAACTGCCAGCAAATCCATAAAAAAAATGCCTGACTCTATCTATTGAACAGACAGTAGTACACACATACACACAAACACACACACACATCCAATTATATTATTTTCTCAACCTTATAAGTAATTTTTAGTCTATTAAGCTAGTGAATAAATTTCTATTTCATTAAAGAATATAACTGGCAGTGCATATTATTTTAAGGGTTTGGATAAATATCATAGTTCACAGATTTAGACATTATTCTATAATACAGTTTTTTAATTTATCAAACAAAAAATCCTCTCCAAGTTTACCAAGCTTATTATGTATATATTACAATAATTATTAACATAATGTTATTTTTATTTATTTAATATTAAAATAAAATACAGCAGAAAGTATTTATCAATGCCACAAATTTTGAATGGCATTCAAAACAAAACTTAACTTAAGATTTAAAACAGGTTGGGTCTTTGTAAATTTAGCTTAGAAGAATTTTCATTATTATGATTATGCAATCAACAGTGTTTTCATTATCTAATTAGTATATCAGAACCAAACCCTTCCTGTGATTGTTTGATCTTACTGTAATATAACTTTTCTGCTGTTATATTAATTTTGCACATTTAATAAGATTCATAAAGATATTGAATCCTATAAAAAGATTCTTATCAATGAAATGTGAAAAGCTAATGCAAGATGCAATTGTGTGTATTATGTATAGAAAATTGTAGAAGACATGAAGATATGCATACTATTAAACACATATATCCACAAATAACTATTGGAAATCTCAAATTTGAGTTTGAAGATTGGCAAGGTTAGATTTTGAATGGTGTTCCTAGGGAACTACTCATTTCCTGGTCTACTTTCGTCCACCTGCCTACCCAAGACCCAATTACTCAGAAATATTTCCACATTTTCCATGTCTCCAGTAATACAGAGGCTCTCCAGCAGAACTCAATTCACGTTGGTAATGAGTCTGTACTCTAACATTTCCCCATGCAGACAGACCAATCTCCCCCAGTGTTGCACATATAGGACTTTTGCATTAGGCAAAAGCTCAGAGGGAATCGAATCCATGCGATATTGCTTTTTTCATTAGGTTGGAGTTTGACGTTCACTTGGCTGAGAATTCTGAAAAATAACCTTGTGCACACCTGAGTGCAAAAAAGTCTGCAATGTGGAGGTGTCCTATAATGTCGAAAAGGATCCACATTTTGTTAATAATAATAATCATAATTAAAATAATGAAAGTGAAAGTCAAACCCATTGCCACCCTCAAATAATAGTCAAAGGAGTAAGCAGATGCTTTTCGTTTCGCACCACATGGCTGTTCTTTACAATATGTAAACATGTGGACTCACATCTTAAGACATTCAATCTGTCAAAATGGGTTCTGTCTCCACTGATTCATCAACTTTTGGTAAAGAGAAAGGCCATTCCTGTTGCCCATTTTTTGCCTATTTACCTAAGTGGATTTGATTTAAGGATTCATAAACCTTTCTTCTGCCAAGCCTTTTATTTTATGAGTGTGTTTATATGTCTTTGTGTGGGTGTATAAGCAATAGTTTCAGTAATAAACATCAACTCAACTCTGGTCATATACAGTGGAACATCAGCAAATGTTCACCAGCTTCTTGGTGTAGAAAACGCATATTTAACTAAAACACTTAAGCACTCCAAAAAAACCTACATTAAAAACACTGAATCTTCACTTACGTAGTCATCATATGATTTGTGTGTGGCCTGTAGTACAGATGCTCTGTATCCAGGAGTCCCTGTAGTTCCTCTGGTCCGGAGTGCAGATACTCCTCTGGCTAGTGTTGGTGTGGTGACGGAGGAGCGCGTGCTCACAGTTCCTCTGGGTGCTGCTGCTCCTCGTCCAGGAGGAGTGGGTGCAGCGGCCCCTCCTCGACCTCTAAAAACAAAGTAAATAGAACGATATGATTTTAAGCACAAAATAGTATAAAAATATGTATTAGTATTATATATATATAAATATTCACATATCATCATATATATTAGAGCTGTCAAACGATTAATCGGATCCAAAAATAAAAGTTTGTGTTTACATAATATATGTGGGTGCACTGTGTATAATTATTTTATATTTATATATAAATACACACACATGCTTGTATATATTTAAGAAATATCTTCACGTATATACTGTATAAAGATTTATATATAATTTATATTAAATATAATATTTTATATATAAATAATATTTTTTCTTAAATATACATGCATGTGTGTGTATTTATATATATATATGTATATATATATATATATATATAGACAAAATAATTATACACTGTGCACCCATATATATTATGTAAACACAAACTTTTATTTTGGATGCGATTAATCGCGATTAATCGTTTGACAGCCCTAATAAATATATATATGTGCATTTAATATTGAGCTAAAATAGAACAAAAATGATTCATAAACCAATTTTCCAATAAGTGAATGGCATTAAAAAAAATCTCAAAACAGTTTATCTATGTACAATTAATACATGCTCAAAGTGTAACCATTTTGATTCAGCTGAAACTACAATTTACAGTGTAGCCATTATCTTAGGCATTCCAGTAAAATTGTTAATTTGACTCTAGTCCATCACCAAATTTACCCATAATTGTTTGACATTACCGCAATATAACCGTAACACAGCACCACATGCAGTGACAGCACTATGCAAAATTAGTGCAGAACAACTCCAGTGTTTACAGATGAAAAATGTGCAGTTATTTGCTGCAGTGCTATAATAGTGGGTTGCTGTTGGCTAGTGTTTTTTTTTATCACAGACAGCCTATTAAAGCCCTGTGAACCATGCGTTTTAAAACCTATTGCAATATTCACTGCCTCAGCTCTTTTCTTTTACAGCACTGCTCTGGTTACACACTATAACAGTGGCAGTGAAGCATGACATCAAAAACCGACCTGTAGAACACATTGTTTCATTCACTAAGAGAGACAGCTTTATTTTGACCTGCTACTGTTTTTAGGATGAATCAAGGGGTAGAGTTGTTTGTTTCTAGAGTAATATTCAACCCGATTACAGATGCAACATGGCAGATGGAGTCGGCAACTCTGGTGAATAGCAGATGTTTCGGTCTGTCCAGATCCACATTCAGTCTATCCAATTCCAAAGACCCTACTGAGACTAATGGCCTCATCAGTATTGTTTTTGCCATGCTGATGTGTGGTAATGACTTCTCAGGGCACCACAAGGAGCACATCAAGTGGAAGAGGCACTTTATAGCTTTATCCGCCAGGAACGGTAAACAGAAATATCATATTTTGAATCTATTATTACTACCTGAGGTAACGCAAGCTGTCGTTGTTGTGGGAGAATCCTAAAGGGATCTTCAGAGGCTCCAGCAAGCCAAAACAAGTGAAGTGTGGAATTTATGAAATAAACATTAAAGACGGTGTAAATAATGTATGATGGTATATATAAGTTATGCTTTTGAAGACAACAATTAAAGCTTCACCTGCTAACCTGATTAATAACACTGAGCCTCAGGGCACTTTCATGATCCAACAGAGCGCAGATGTTTGGGAGTCAAAATTGGGCGTCTGTTAGAGTTGTTAACAGTCAGAGCTAAAGCGGTTAGAATACATTTGGATGGCTTTGGTTTCCTCAGAAACACTGATTGAGATTCTTTTTTTTAATGATATTTTATCATATTATTTTAAATGAAATCAGATTGTTATATCTTTAAGAATCTCCAAAACGTAGTTCCTTGGAGGAAATAAAGTCATACATTTTTTTGGAACGACATGAAGGTGAATAATTTGGGTGAGCTATTCCTTTAAGGTTTAAGGAGGGGTTATGAGGTGAAGCGACTGTACCGGGTGGAGGCTGTGGAGGTTAGACGTAAGCCACGTCCTCGCGTGGTTCTTCCTCGGCTTGGGTCATCTGAACCATTTAAATAGGAGAGCTCACGAAGCTGCTCCTGCCTGATCTCATCATTGTAATCCTGTGGGAGGAAAAAACAAACCTGCCATAAAAAACACATTTATATACCAAGGCAAAAGTGTTGTAGGTGAATCTCATCTGACATGCTTCTCTTCAACCACTGCGAAAAGAAATGATCCAGTTGGATGCACATCTTGCAGACACCAGCGTCAAAGCAACTGAGCTTTAAATGCATTGCTCGACTACCAGAACGTTGGCCGGGAATATTAAATATACTGCCAGAAAGTTTAGCTGACTTCAAACAAAAAAATATGGGTAACATGTTTTAATCTGTTTTACCATGTTTTTCAAATGTGGAGGACAAGAAATATTTTAGCATACATACTGACAAAACGGCACCATATGACACGCACTCCAATACACACTGAAAATATGGTGTAGAATGAGGTACCGTGATGCACACATATCTTTCATTTAGAGTAAGAGGCAGGAGAAAAATAGAGCACTGGCTTATTAACTTTGTTTGACATCAGCTATCAGTGCATTGTTGTGAAAGAATAATTCCACTTTCTGCATTTATAGTCCCTCTCTCATTTGATTGAACATGACAGGGCCCTGAATCACAAGGACGATTACAGAGTGGATAGCGCTTATTTTATTATCATGTCGCTGCCACAGGCAGATCAACGGAGCCTCATTTCCACCAGCCACTTATTTCCCTTCCTGTTTGGCACAACAGCTGTGTACAGGCAAATATCAGACATGGCAGCTAAAGGAGAAAGGCCTTTCCACAGAGATATGCTCAACAATCAATAAAAACTGCATTAGAGATGCTCCTGTATCCACTAAATGGACATGCTCGTACATTGTAATATTAAGAGTATCATTTAATAGAGTTTAATAGATAAAATATCTAGGCTACTAAATACTCGATAACATTGCAATGGTCGGAAGATCAAACTTTTGATTGCTTTGTTAGGATTTTTTGTATAAGTTTGTGGTCAGTAAGATTTTTTACTTATGCTCTTAATGGCTGCCTTTATTTGATAATAAATACAGTCAACACAGCTTTATTGTGTGAATATTACTACAATTTCAAATGGATGATGTCTATTTTAATATATTTTAAAATGTAATTTATTCCTTTGGTGGAAATCTGAATTTGCAGCAGTGTCACATGATCCTGCAGAAATCATTCTAATATGCTAATTTGATGCTCTAAAAACATTTCTTATTATTAACAATAATGAAAACAGCTGTGCTGCTTAATATTTATGTATGAGCGATGATACCAGATTTCCAGGATTCTTTGATAAATAAAAGAACAGCATCTCTTGTCCCGTTGCTGTAACTTTTGATTAATTTGATGCATCCTTGCTGAATAAACCTTATTTTCTTTCATAAAAAAAATCTTACTGACCCCACACTTTTAAACAGTAGTGCTGTAGTGTCTGACGCGCGTCTACATTTGAAATAACGAACTTGAACACGATATGTGAACGGGCCATTGACGAGCTGCCTCCAATCAGGCCACGAGCTACTGGCAGAAAGAAGAAACTCTAGTAAAGGGTAACTAAACCCCTGTTCAGAGCCTGACTCCACCCACTGGCAATATTTGAAAATGCTGAAAAAGTGGGCTGACCCCAGCGGAGATTGAGGGGACGAAATAGATGCTAAAACACTCTATCCTGGTCGTTTTCAATACTCACATTTCCAATTCCTGACTCCCTACAGTGGTTTTGACGACACAACATGATTTTTATACTGCCAAGGGCGTAGCTCGCGTGGTGAGCTGAAACCTGCGTACGTCACGAAGTGCGGAACATCCAATAGGAAAATTCAACTGCAGTAGCCACCGTTCAACCTGAAGAGGGCAGCACTAAGACGTTTTTACACCATACATTGTAGAAATAGAACACTTTATAAACAAATGTCAAAAAAGTTACTTGAATCAATGACTGGTATTAATAAAGATCCATTCTTACAGATCATTAACTAAAAAAAGTTGGTTTAATGTTTAGTTACTCTTTAAGCGCGCAGTGTTATGATTTCCTACTTGTTTGGTGGAGGCAATCCAGAATTACTGTTGGTGAAATTATAATCAGACCTGCTAATTGGTAAAACAGGACAAATGAGAATGTTTTTTTAAGGGGGTGATTCGTCCACAGTCCTCTGAAGACTCTCTTAGTCGCTACAGAGACGATCACCAAAGAAATCCAAGACCAAGTGTTAGGAATTTTGATAGTTTCTATACCAGGTTGAAAGGTGAGAGGCGTGGGTAAGTGTGGTGGATTTTGTGCTTGGATCAGCATTAGCTGTTGCCAGGGCAGTCCATTTTGTAGCACCTCAACAGTCTGACTGCATTCCTTGCAACACACGGACTAACAGAAATGTATTGTATACTGATCAGATGTAGTGAGCATTCTGGTGGATTCCTTATGGAGAGTGTCTCGTGGTGAAGCTAAGTATGCTCTGAATCAGATTTAATAATAGCGGTAATGTATTGATTCAGGATATAAACAGTGAGTCTTAGAAACACTAGGTAAAATTGCACACAGTCAGCAAGTCAAGCTTTATAAAAAAAAAATAGAATTAACTTGTTTTTGCTTCTAAGTCTCTGTATGAATGTCTACATCCACTCATGTATTAATGGTAAATGAAGAAGTTTTCCTCCTACAAAATCAGTTACCCAGTTTCCTTCTTAATGAGACTACAGTCAATAGACGTACAGTGCGCTGCCGCTGAGGAGAACCCACTCACGCCTACTAAAGATGCTGTGTTTTGCATGATTCACTCTTTTTCTGAGGCAATGCATAATCCTATTCACATAATGGGCTTTCTGTAGGCCTTATCAACAAAGGTTTGGGCCTATCAGTAGTCCAGGCTGCAAAGGCATTTTGCTTGTTTGGTTTTTAAAGACATATTTATACTATGTTAACCATTTCTTAACTGGAATTATAAAATTCATTAAATGGAACTTCACATTTCATAATTCAATTTAATCCAGAGCTACGGGTAATCTGTGTGCGGCTTTATTGTGTGAGAATGATATAGATTTACAAACAAATTCGAGAAATTCAAGAAAAGTTCTTCTCTAGTGTCAATATTGAGGATGCCGTCAATTTCAAACCAAACGAACAAGAGGATCATGCAGAACGGATTTAATGCAAAGACTTTGCAAGTAAGAATTTCATAGGACGTTTCAAAGTGGTATGTTTTTTTTTTTGTAATTTTGTTATACATTTTAGATACAATGTTATTCACCATTTAATCGTGATATTTGTCAAAAATCGAAGGTAATACAAAAAGTAATTGATCACAAAAACATGGTTAATTGTCTTTACAAAATCGAGAGCTTACAAAAGCAACAGAAAACAAGCTGTTCTCCATAAAATTAATATTGGGGTTATAATGTTCGGGAAATAAGTTTTAACCAATCAAGTGCGTCGGCCTTGGGAAGGTAAAAAAAAAAATCATTTTGGAAAAAACAGTTTCTCTTTGAACAATGTCTTCTCTAATGCAGCTCAACCAGGCCTCATCCAGTTTTTTGTGTATTTTGTGGGCGGGGATTGTTTAAATTAGTACAATTGTGACTTCATAAGATCTGGAAAAATTGCTTTTTAGTTCTTAAAAAGGGTATTCTGTTAATATAATAATGTTTCCCTTTGGAGTGGACTTTGAGCTTTGTAACCTTGCAGATCTTTTTCATGCTCAAACAGCAACATTACACACTAACTAAAGTTTAAAAAGTGGAAAAGTGGTTTAATCTCCACTTGCTAAAAGCTTCCATTTTGGGAAGGTTTTCCAGCAGATGTTAAAACATGGATGTTGTGATTTTCTCCAATCCAGACACCAATGGCAGCTAATAATGTTGAGTGAGGTTCTGGCTCACAGTCTGTGTTCTAATTTATCCCAGTCACAATGGAGAAGTGTTCAGGTCTGAGCTTGGTGCAGGTCAGCTAAATTCTCTCACACATTTCTTAATAGACTGTGCTTTGTGTACAAGGGCGTTGTTGAAACTATTGCAACAAAACTAAGTCAGAAACTAAGTCAGAAGCACACAATTCCTGAAACTAAGTCAGAAGCACACAATTCACTAGAATGTCATGTGTCCCATAGCATTGGGAAAGTTTTTTTTTTAGTGGAATTAAGGGCATAGCAAAATTGTTAATTACAAATTTGCCATAGTGAATTTGTAATGATATGTTTCTTTAAAACAAATGCTGTGAAATATCAAGAAATGTTTTAATTCTCATGGCTGCCTAGAAAATATTAACACTTCAAAGCGCACTATCTTGAGATGCCAGCACATCCTTTAATCCTGACAGGAATCAAGCTTTCTGACAAAGATAAATGTATAAACACATTCAAAGAAGGAAAGACATCAAGACATTAGCTTCAAACCGTAATGAGCTGCCTACATACGCAACTGCTTTTATTGCAGCATGCTCACTGAAATGGATACACGCTTGCAGTACCCTTTTTTCAGAATTAGTCTAAAATAAGGAGGCATCATAATTATGTCAGAAGCGTGCCTACAGAGTTAGCTCATTATGTTTTGGAACAGAGCTATTGAGATTAAAAACTTATTTCAATTGGAATTCCACAGTGGGAATAAAGATAAAACATGGTTCACCACTGACAGAAATACATATGGAGTAAGTAACCAGATCAGTGCGGATGATACCAAGATGTGGCTCAAGAGGCGAATAGGGAATCTCTCCTTGAGCACTTCCCTCCTGAGGCAAACACTTCATACTGCTTCATTAATATTTATAGTTTAGACTTTATAGGAGTGGTATTCACTTGGCGAAAAGGACCCCGGCTTGGATCCATCTGGACCGTGGGACATAACTGCGTCATTTTACCATTTCAACAGTTTAAAGTGAGCAGCGTGTCAAAACAATGGAGCGGTTGACACCACAAGTGCTCAGGGTCGTTAAGGGTCATGATCTTCCAGCGCTACATCCTCTGATATTTTTATCTAGAGCCTCATTCATGCCCTTTCCGTTCTATGCTCGTTGCTTCCCTCTCTCGCTTAAGATGTAAAGCGGCACAATAAGACCTGCAGATGACGTGGTTATTTTAACAACAGCAGCAGAATCTCAGGGTGCGGCAAAATAGATATTTTTACTCAAACACTGCAGAAAACAAAAGTACGGCAAATACAATTACTTTAATCATAATTGTATTTGTATAATAAATAGTATGTATTATATTCATAAAGATGACCACGACCTTTTAATAAAACCATGTTCTAAGAGCATTTCATAATAAACAATGCAAGAATTTGGAATTAAAGATGGCCAAGGAATACAAAAAACTTTGCAATTACTAGTTAACTTTGTTTTGTGCTCATGATGAGAGTTTTGATAATTAGTTCGGTATGTACAGTACGGTCCATACTTTTCTTAAGATCTTAGACATCACTATTTTGGCTCTCAGGGCCCAAAATTATCATCTTTGATGACTTTGAGTGTTTAATATTTTTTTCTTTAACAAAGTACTACGGCTGCCCTGGTGGAAATGTATAACTCTTCCAAAAAAGAATCGTCCAGACCTCAGCTGAATATGACTAATAATCATTAATATTACTAACAAATAAGCTAGTGAGTATACACTACTGTTCAAAGGTTTTTTATTGTTTTAGAAAGAAGTCTCAAGCTCCCCAGAATTGCATTTATTTGATCAAAAATACAGTAAAACAATGATATTGTGAAATATTTTTACAATTTAAAATAATTTTCTATTTTAATATATGTTCCCTGTGATGGCAAAGCTGAATTTTCAGCAACTCCTTCAAAAATAATTCTAATATTCTGATTTGGGGCTCAAGAAACATTTCTTATTATTATCATGGTTGAAAACGGTTGTGCTGCTTAATATTTTTGTGGAAACCGTGATATCATTTTTGGATAAGCAGAAAGTACAAAAGAACTGCATTTATTTATTAGCAAAAATCTTTTGGAAAAATCTTCAGTAAATGTGTTAACTGTCCTTTTTGAAAAATGTAATGCTTCCTGGAAGAATATAAGTATTAATTATATAAAAAAAGAAAAAAAATCTTTTTTTTTCAATCAAAAGCATTTCCAGCCAATTCCAACATATTAAACATCCAAATCTTTCATATATAATCATATGCATAACTCCATAATCTCCAATTGCCCTTCCATTAAACATAGGCAAATGTATGCAGGAGAGTACTAGAGTTCAGCTTTGGTTAGTGTACTCATCTCATCCTGGCTTCTAGCTCACCATCTCTTTCAAAGAATTCAAGTATAAACTTACTGGAACAAGGAATTTCTTAATCTCCTCCAGGGCATGGCTCATGCGGGAATAGGCTTCTCCAGGTGGTGCGAAAACTTCAATTAAAACATGAAGATCGTTGCTCAAATGGCCGTATTTTGCCTCGCCACTTTTTCTCAGCTCTTCCTCCTAGAGATGGAAAAATATCAAGTCAGGAATTCTGTGTGAAGAATTTATCATATCATTAATGAATTAGATAAAGAGAACTTTTCTTCCTCCAAACCGTATTATGCATATTTTGAACTGAGAGTGAACTGGAAAGGCATTAAAGGGACAGTTCACCTAAAAATGAAAATTCTGCCATCATTTACTTATACCTTTATGTCTTTTCAAACCTGTATGACATTTGTGCAACAATTATTGCCTGACTGACTGACTTATTATTACTTACTGAAATCATATAGGTTTGGCACAACACAAAAGTGACAGTGGAAATTTTTTATATTTTTATAAATATACCTTATGAAAGAAGCTCTTTCTAAGATGGTGATGTTCTTGTAATGTACAAAATGTCACAAAGTCTTTTTTTTTGTGAACAATGGAACCTATCGACACCTTTACTCTGTAACACAGATAATGGGTACGTAGATTCGAATCATTATGCTTAAATGTGCCCGAGGGCTTTTTGTCAGAAATAAATTGACACGGTCACCTTTCTGATTAAATCCAGCCATTGGAAAAGCTAAAAAGGGTGATATTTCACAGAGGTATTGGGTTTTTCAATTCTCTCTGATTGCTGAAGGTGTTCTGTGGCTCTTCACAAAACTTGAAACTTCAGAAAGCTTGTAATTACGGCAGACAGCGTTTCTGTTTTATGTTGATTACCACTCAGCTGTGGCTTCTTAAAGACAGAAGGGCTTTGATGACATAGAAGCCGGATCACTGATATGGCCCCTTGTAGCCCCTTCAGCGTTAATAAACACTTACCGATGCCATCTCAGTATCATGTCAAAGTGACCCAAGCACTTTTTCCATCATGCTCTGCATGGACAAAAGGTCAGGAGACACTTAAGCTTTTACAACATTTCTGAGAGGCGTAATCATATTTTGTTGGTCTTCGGTATACGCCAGCTGACGAATTGTGCAGATGAGATGGTTCAGACGGTAATTTTGTGAGTAGACACAAATATACAGTATGTGTGTAGGCGTTGGCACTGTGGGTGTCTCCAGTCCAGATTGACTTAAAAATGGACAGACAGGCAGAAGTGGAGGCAGGAGACGGAGAAAAGGCTGCCGCCTCATTTCCAGTCCTGGAAAACTGCTCGTCAAATGACAATTGTTCGGTTTCAAGTCAGAAAGCTTTAATTTTCCTTTCATGTCAATCCATGAAGAAAATGTTCAGTTGTTTCAAAAGGTAGGCCTGTCTCCCAGGATGCATTTCAAAAGGCACGCAAGTAAGCATGTCTAAGCATAGCAGAATCCTCTTCAAATATGACAAAATGAAGGGTTCCTCATCTTTATTCCCAGTAAAGTACAAATAGTGAATCTGACACTTATAAGCTTGACAGTTATCCAGTACCCCTACGGAGTTAAAGAGCTCAGTTTTGAAACATTCAAACAAAATCTCATAGAGCTAAATAAAATCGACTCCTAAAAGGCATGGAAAAGCAATGTTGGCCATAAACACTGGCCTTTGGATATGAGAATGTTTCTGCTAAAACATTTGTGTCTATCCCCAGATTAAGATTTGTGATACACAGATGTCTTTTTGCAAGGTGGTGCAATGTCCAAATTCCTGCCAATTTGCTGCACTCAGACACATGCTGTTCATTTACCTGCCCAGGGAATCATTCCAAATGCAATATGTTTTGCTTTATTAAACTCTGGATGAGGACAGTCTTTTGTACGAAGACCTCAGTAGGACTCTCAAATACTGCACAGACAATGGGCCATAAAGATGCAAGGCAGACTCTTACTGTAATTTCATATGTATAACAAACCTGTACAAGCTCAAGGTGACTCTTTATAATGGAATATGTTTGCATTAATGATTGCCTTTGGGATTTAAAACAATCCAACAGGCTCTTGTTTGAGTTCTGCCATAAATTTAAATAGATTTCAGACCATGGTTCATCTGCCTTGTTAAGAGTGAAATTCCAGTGAAAAGTGTGTTTATAAAGCTTAACAAAAGAACACCCTGTCTGCTTGTAGAAACCCCACACAGCTATTTGGGGAAAAAACAATGTATATTCCTGTCTCATTTGTTTCTTTCACCGGCTTTCAATTCACCTTTTTAGCATTTAACGATATACGACATTTGTCAATAAGACCATAAGACATTGGTCTTGTTTATTTCTATGAAGTTATTGCAATGACGACAGATTTTATGAAAAGAATATAAGAATCGTTTATTTGCATGCTATCTATCTGTATTGCTTGAGCACACAATTCACTTAAAGAATTATGTAAATCAGATAATGGTAAACTTGGGGCAGCATGCACAACGTGATTGCAGTTTGTGACTGATAAAAAAAAAAAAAATTGGCACATTTTGTAGAGCTTAATATAAATAGAAAGGAGTTTTTTGGAGCTGAAAAGAATCACAGCGCTAAAGCATACTTGTAGCACCTGGTTAAAATAGATTGCAGGTGGTGTGTGAACAAGACACAGGGTTTTGCACTGTATTCTTAATGAGGACAAAGCAGATTTTGTGTAAATAATTCATCTCAGGTCACTGTAAATGCACAAACAAAAATTTACTGGTGACTTTGTAGAAATCTTCAGAAAACATTTCTTATGTTTTTTTATATATTAGGTTAATACTTATCTTTGCGTCATTAAAAAAATAGTTTTGTTCTTGGTTGAACAACCTTCAACATGCATACATCAACCGAATTCTATAATAATATGCCACGACTCCATGCTTCAGTTGTGCCTATAACTACACCCCTTAAAGGAGTAGTTCACTTTTGCTGATAATTTACTCACCCCCATGTCATCCAAGATGTCCATGTCTTTCTTTCTTCAGTCGAAAAGAAATTAAGGTTTTTGATGAAAACATTCCAACATTTTTCTCCATATAATGCACTTCAGTGGGAACCAAACGATTCAAGGTCCAAAAGCAGTTTCAGTGCAAACTGCAAACTGTTCAAAGGGCCATAAACGATTCCAGACGATGAATAAAGGTCTTATCAAGCGAAACGATTGCTCATTTAATAAATAAATAATATTTTAATAATCTCCGAGGCATTTTGTTCATTCAACGAACAAAACGAATGGATTGACTCGGAAAAAGATTCGTTCATTTTGATGAACGAGTTCGAGCAGGAGAGTCACACAGAACAGAGCAAGGCGACCATTTGAGCTTATAAAACTTAACCTTTTTTTTTTTAAATGAGTGATCATTTCGCTTGATAAAACCCTTATTCATCGTCTGGAATCGTTTAAAGCCCTTTGAACAGTTTGCAGTTTGTACTGAAACTGTCTTTTGGACCTTGAACCGTTTGGTTCCCACTAAAGTGCATTATATGGAAAAAAAAATACTGGATTGTTCATCAATAACCTTAATTTCTTTTCGACTGAAGAAAAAAGACATGGACATCTTGGATGACATGGGGGTGAATAAATTATCAGCAAAAGTTTTTTGAAAAGTGAACTACTCCTTTAACAGCTGGAAAAATCGATGTAGCACTGCACATCCTTGCTTTGCTTATTGAATCATTCTATTTCATACACTATGGAAGAAAACTAATATTTGCTTGATATGAATGTGGATATGAATGTTTTTAATTCAGATTTACATTCAATAAAAATTTAATTAAAATGAAAAATGTATTGAACTGGGGAATTTAGGAAGGCCTATTATGACATGATAGGAGCAGCAAACCGAGAAATATTAAATTTGGAACGATTCTCTGGCTAGGTAAATGACCAGCAGCTGTTTGGCTGAACATTTCACTCACCACCGCTCAATCCAAAGCACGTATAAAAAAGTTCCACTGAGAAAGATCCATATAGTGAATAGCCTCAACAGCTCCTTTATAACAGGGATTTACTTGATCCTCCAAACAAACACTGATCATTTTTTTCCAAAACATAAAACACAAGTCTGTTAGGGTGTTAACATGATTATAAATGATCATGATTTTAATCCATGAGTATTTGAGTAATCTAGTAAAATGCACAGGAAAATCTTTAAAAAAAATCTACATGTTCCACTAACAGGCATATATCCTCATTATATCTTCATCAGCCTATCACACACCTCACTGCAATTTCCGAACTAAAGCCCTTCTATATGTCCCCAACTTGTTTCAATAGGAAATATTTTAACACAAGAAAGACGTGTGCTCATGACAGCTTTTGAACTGAATAAAAGAGAAAAGGCTTTATTTTCAGTCAAATTACAGTCAGTGCGCTATTATTTGTGATGTATACTTCTCTTTTCAAGAATGTGTACAACGTCAGTAAATGCTAAAACAGCAGTTCCTCCTCTATCTAGGGGCATATGCGCAGGTAATGATCTTCAGTCTCAGCGTCCTCTCACACTTTGCTCTGTCAGCTCTGATGCTTGTTACACTCACAGAAATGAAAGGTTTACAGGATTTAAGGGATAAAGCACTCTTCTCTGGAATAAATGCAGTGTGCATGGCATGTAAAAGCTTCCAGAAGCCCATTTCCTCCACATAAGGAAATAAAAAATGCTTTATTAAATCATCATGACATAAAATTTAATAAATTATGACAAACAAGGTAATAATTATAAATAGTCACAATTACGAGATAAAAAAAGTCAGCATGAGATTTTAAAAAAAAAAATCACAATTTTGACTTTTTAATAAATTTTAAATCTTATAATTATAACTTTTTAGCTCATAATTCTGATTTACCAAAGTAAGATTTATTTTTCCTCATGTGGTGGAAATAGGCTTCCATTTTAGTTTCTCATAGACAAAAAACAACAAATGGTTTAACCCAGCTCTTATCAAATGCAGGTAATTTGCCTTTGTAGTTATAGTTTAGATATTTAGGGCCAGATTACTAAACAGGGCAAATTAGCGTGAGAGCGCAATCCCATAAAAGCGCAGATGGGAATGGAAAGATGTGCACGAGATCAACTGGTGACGCACAAACTAAAGAACAGAGACATAGCCGGATCATTTTCATAATGACCAACGCAATCTATCAACAGCAGCACAAAGTAGCGTCTAGTTTAAGACATGCTTCTTTGGTCAGTAAATAATTGATGCAAATACTAGTAAACTGACCAGAAAACCAGGAAATCACATTGAGTCATCCATTTAAATACACTCCCATAAATTTAGTGTCTAAATGGAAACTCTTACAAATGCATATGCAATAAGGTCAGCCGCAAAAAACAACTGTATTGCTGAAAGTAAATCCTGACAGTAGTTTTAAAAGCCAAAAAAAGAAGGTTTGCACTGGCACAAGCTGTTAGTAAATCTGGCCCTTAATATCTGAAAATATGCTGATTTAGTTATGGCATTTATGTTTACAAAGAAATCAATGTCAATAACAGCTATTCTCAAAACAGTAATGAAACAATACATTTCTACAGTACACATGCTGAAAAAATAGAGTTGTTGCCAGTCATCTTACCTTGCCTTTATCCCTCATTGAACCCTTGCCGAGGATGGACATCTTTGCTCCCGTTTCCTCTTGTAATCTTTTCATGGAATTGCCCCTGGGCCCCAGCAGTTTCCCAACAAAATTAAACTGTAATAAGGAGAGAAAAGGCAATAGGTTGGTCTCTCGCACTGCCTGCTTCTGCCTCAGTTACCTCACAGTCAATAATAAAAAAAAACATTCAGTTTTTTCTCATCATGCACAAAACCAGTTAGAGTGAGAGAATGAAAAATTCTTTTTTTTGCTTTAAATTAAATCTGTGGCAGTCATCGTTCAAAAGTTTTTTTGTGCCGTTTTAACCTTTATTTTTTTTAAAGTTTGTCAGAAACGATTTAAAAAGATGTGAGAGTCTACACCTGTTTCTGTAGGGCACTGTAGCCACTCATGTGTCTAATCGATGTTTGGGGTCAGTGGTTAGACTCCACTGATTTCAGAGATATTATAACATGTACCAAATGCCAAAAGGGATCTTCAGAATGATCCAGGAGTCCATGCTTGAATGAGGCATAACGTAATGAGTTGATTTCCAATGGGGATTCAAGTAATACTACCCAGATGATGAGCTATCCAGCAACCGCCTTGGGGCAGCAACTAACATTCCGGTTGCACAGCAGATCAGCGGTCATTGAGAACACTTGGTCATCACAATTTTTTTTTTTTCACTCAAATCTGTGCATCATAACTGTATCTTCAAGGATTTACAGAGTCTTACACATTGCAATCAGATTCGGGCTGCTGAGGATTGTCTAATGCCCATGATAACAACAAATCGTAAGTAGTCAATAAATGTTGCCATTGTAAGAAAAAGTGCCCTTGTATAAAATGCCGCATCAAATTCCCTTTATAACAGTGTCACTTCATCACTGTCTGCTCATGTTCAGTGTTCATCATTTTTTCTGATGTGTCGCCACAATCCCCTTAGCCAGCAGCCACTCTAAATTCACTTTAGATTTAATATGTTTTTGAGAAACCTTTTAAAAAGGCATTTTTTGGGCAGTCTTTACCAAGGACAATAAAACAGAATAAGATTTTTTGGATGTTGAGAATGCATCTAAACACATTGTTGTTTCTGGTCATCAGATTCTGATCACTATATCATGTATCTTAGGCATAAAACTCTAGATGGCACACAATGATAGGCACTGGAAGCAATCACATTATTACCACATGGCACAAACTGATTGGCCTCTGCTGATCCTGGCTGCAGCCAATGAGATTGTTTGCTCAACATTTAAATAGTCAAATAGAGCAGAGTTTCGCTGAAACACTCCACCACCCCCAGCTCCACCTGTCTAGATCTGCTATGGGATTTATGTATGCATATTCATGCAGCAACAGCATTACATACTCACAGCAGTGTGTCAGTGTATCTTTTGGCAGTAGCAAGTCCATTGCTCTGCAGCAGCATGATGACCTCAGACCAAATAGATTAACACTCATATTCATTAACATGCTAAGCCTATTGTTGTCATGATTTAAATACACATCACAGATATTCATAGAGAGAGTGTGAGAGAGAGAGAGAATTAACACTCTCACTACTTTTCACCAAATTTTAACTTGACTTCCCTTTTAGCGTGTGCTTTGTCAAATGGTGTAAAAAAATGAAGAAACAGGATAAAAAAAAATGTCCAGAAATGGGCAAAATGTCTTCATGTGCATGGCTGTTGTAGTGGGGATGTATTTTAAGGATGCAAGAGTTTACTCACTTTTATAGTGAATAATGTGTAAATAAATAAATATAGGCTGTGTGTGACTAGTCAATAATTGTGACAATCCATGCCTATAACATACATGAAGCATTATGTGTGGAACACATGCTTAGTTGCATTATTTTGGAGAAATAGAAGTCAGACATTACTAAGGGAAGTGAATTTGCCCTTCAATATTTGCAAAGGTTAGATGATTTGTGGCGGCCAAAATGAAACAGTTGGGTATAACACATGTTGACATACCCTGCCTAGCACATGGCTGGAAACTCCTCAACACATGCTCTTCCCAGCCAGGCTGTAGAAGCAGCTGTAGGGAACTCTAGCTGGTGGAACGCAGAAGAACTGTCACAAAATTTGGCTGGAGCCACATAACAAATGCAAGCCGTTTCAGGTGAAAGGGTGAGGTGTGGGTAGGGCAGTATATTTAGCAACACCGCAGCACTGCGCCAAAGCGTGCTGACCGACTCTCTCGGAGTGAAGGTGTGCTGTTTGCTTCCCCTCCAGTGGGGTGTGTGTATGACAGGAATACTCTGCAGCTGGCTGGGTGCCTCGGAGCAGATGGTTGCCTCAGCTACAGTGTGAAGATGCTCACTGGGCGGCTGCAGTGGAGTGGCCTGTTTTCATTAAGCTAATGAATGTCTGGAGTCACTCTCCTGCTCCATGGTGGGCAATTTAGGCTTTATTAGGGGGCACAGTTCAGTCTTGGATGAGGTTTGAAGCGATCCAAGCTGTCCCTCGCAGTCCCCGGCAGAGGCAGGCTGCAGAATGATGGGCATTATGCAGCACTGACAGGCTGAGGATGATAAACCTGACAACCGGAGGCATAAGTGTCAAACCGCATTGGCTTATTATGAGCAAATGTGACTTTTAAAAAAAGTACACATGGTGTGCTGTTGTGATGGAGAATAGATCACTAACCCACACTTCTAGAGCGTGGATCAGTGTGTATGTCTAAAATCACTGCAAAAATCCTGGGAAAGCATTGCAGTGTTTATTGATAACTTAAAAAGCCCGGCTGGCTATTCACTGTGCTTTCATGCAGAATCACTTATATTTGGAGCCTGCAATGAGTTTAGAGTGTGTGTGTGTGTGGCTGGCTGAACAAATGACTTTTCACACTTGAGTCCCTTTGACAGGGACCTTCACCTGCGCTCAGTGCTCACTGATGTGCATTACATTGATTTCTCTGTCAAAATCTTTTCAGAAGCCATTCAAGACCACTGAGCTCTTGATCAGCTTCATATTTATGGGGTGAGAATGGTTGCATTGTTCCAAATAAATAGATTGTTGTGATCCATAAATATAAGAAAAGAAATTCACAAAAATATATCAAATATATACCCACCGTTTCCTCAAGCCAATCAGATTGAGTTGACCAATACAATCTAATGGTCTAACTCTAAAAAAATGAGTCACAGACCTAAAAGGTTCCCTGAATCCCTGCACTAAGACCAGCTTTGCTTGCTAATTCAAATTTCCTCAGAAAGAGTCTTGAGAGTTTAAAATCCATCTCCTACCCTCTATGAACTTAAATCTGAATTACATTTTGTGGTGCGCTGTTCTTGAACATTTCTCTTCTGCTGTCCCAATCTCAACAGATGCAAATTGCTCCTCTATAGTTAAAGTCTTTTTAATCTGGACTTTCAGTCAGCAAAGGTGCATATTCTTATCTGTCATGAAAAAACAATAGTATACTAATTTATTTTTCATGATCCTCATCACATCAAAAAAAAAAAAAATGGAAAAGGTACAGTTTCAATCTGCTGCCAATTTACAATGACAGAATATGATCAATTGAGATAAAGAGAGATTAAAGGGGTCCAATTTTACAGGTTCATAAATTTTGAATATGTTTGTGTTATTTAATGTTTTGGTTTCTTTAAAACCTGCCTTCCGGAAAGAAGTCTGCTGTGACTGGTAGACTGGCCCCAGTCTGTTGTGATTGGTCAACTACCATTTACAGTGTGCGTTACTGAAATGTAACGGCCCTTATTTCAGCCCTGTAAACACTACTGTAACCATGCTAATATGGTATTAGTTTTGCCATATCAGTTCGAGTGATTTTTTTTTTTTTTTTTTTTAAAGCATAATTGGACCCCTTTAAGAACAAGACACATGCCATCTCATGTTATTTACAGATAGGGTTTCAGACTGTGGCAATTAAACCTTATAGACTCTGCAGAAACAGCTATAGTCTACATCATATCCACTATAAATGACTTTGATGTCTAGAGCCAAAAACTTCTAAATATCCTCAAGACTGTTTCAGCAAAAAATGGCACAAAAGTCCTCAGGCTTCACAACAAAATGTGCTGCCAGACAAAGCTGGCGAAGTGAACACTAATCATAACCATTAGTGCAGTTTGAGCTGGAGGTTGAAACACAGCACCCTTTCCATAAGCTGTGAAACCATATAAGATCCGCAGATAGAGTTAGATGACTACTGCCAGCCTAGCCAGCTGTGCTGCTAGCGAGGTCTAGCACTGGCTGATAGCAGGATTATTATTGGGGACTAGGACTGGGAGAGATGTAATAATGGCCAGGAGAGATGGCTTGGCCACAGTCAATGGACACAGATTAGCAGAGAATGGTTTAAACAGTGGCAGAGTGCTATGGTGTTAAATAGAGATGAGAGTCATAGAGCCAGTGTTGGCTGTTAGTGGAGGCTAATGAGCTAGCAGAAAGAGCCAGAGCTTTAATACTGGGCAATATTCGCCTCTAACAACAGAATAAGCCAAAGAGCTTTGCAAAATTATTTTTACACTAATGTTCAAATGTTTGGGATTTTTCAAATAAGGCTCATTCTCACCAAGGCTGCATGTATTTGATCAAAAATACAAACGTTTTCTATTCAACAATTTAATTTACTCTCGTGATGGCAAAGCTGAATTTTCCGCATCATTCCTCCAGTCATCGGTGTCACATGATCCTTCATAAATCATTCTAATATGCTGATTTGATGCAAGAAACACTTCTTATTATTATCAATTTAGGAAATAATTCTGCTGCTTCAAAAGTTTAAAACAATAGCAGTAGTTTATAGAATTTTCTCTTTTGATTAATTCAATGTGCTCTTGCTTAAACTATAAATATTTGCCTGAAAGCAGAAAACTATATCTGACTTACTTTATTAATTAAATGCACATTAACAGAATACATAACAAATATGTATGATATCATACTAGAAATGCATGTTCCAACATACTGAACTTTGTGTTCAGTGCAGCTCTGGAAAAGGTAACAGCCTGAGGTAAAGTTGATGATGGATCCCCTGCATTAAAGAACCCATATTGAGCTCTGACACTCTGGGGCTGACAGCACAGATGCGGGGTAAACAAACAGCGCATTAAGACCATCTCAGAGTCAGGAGGCTGACAG